AGAATAAAAATGAACGATCTCAGTCTTAGAAGGATTGTTACTAAGCCTATTTTCTAGAAAAAAGGACTGAATGTCATTAATACATAGTTCAAGATTGTTTATAGCAGAATGTCTATGATCAGGATTCATTGTTATGTACACCTGAGAGTCGTCAGCATACATCATGCAGTCAAGGCCATGAGATGTAATTACGTCTTCCAAAGGAGCAAAGTATAAGATAAACAGCAGTGGGCCAAGCACCGAACCTTGAGCTACGCCGGACTTCATAAGCTGAGGACTGGACTCAGTATTTCCAAGTACGACTTTCTGAGAGCGCTCTCGTATGTAAGACTCAAACCATCGAAGTACTATTCCTGTAAAGCCATATTTGTTGTTCAATCTATTTATGAGTATGTCGTGGTCGATGGTGTCGAAAGCAGCCGACAGGTCAAGAAGAACAAGAATCACTTCCTTCCTGTGGTCGATCGTTCTAAGAATATCGTTGTGAACTCGTAGGAGAGCCGTTTCTGTACTGTGGAATTCTTGATATGCTGATTGTAATTTGGGATAGAGTTGATTTCTTGAGAGATAATCACGTTTTACCTGCATTATCCTGTTACGGGATATTTCGAATTTTACCGACGTGTAACTCTCGGTATTTCAACGACATAATTCAGGAATTATCCTATAATGGGGCTCCCTGTGGTACATACCGCTGAAATGATATTCGCGCCGGCGCGCTTGCACTCGTATATTGAACTATTGACGTTTATAGTTACTAGTTTAATTATTTCGAAATATATAAGCTTTAAAGTTGTCCAAGATCGACCATTATGTCAACAGTATCACGTTCAAGATCTTCTCAGAGGCTAAATCGAGCTTTTCGACTGAGTCGTGCACAATGGTAAGCAAATATTCATTGTATTCAAGCATTGTTAAGATTTGGCCGAGGTTTTTCCAACTTTAAAATAACTCAAAATATTGTAGCTCTCGAAAATGATATCTTAAACAAATGGCATGTTATGAAAGCAATACAAAATTACCGTTGATTAATTTTGGGAATGTTTTTTTTGGAGGGGGGGGGGGGGATTGGTGTCTTTTCAGTCAGATCAAAATAAAGAACCATATACCAAAAATACCAAAACAATGCTGCTTCAAAAGTGACAATTATGCCCTTCACCACTCCGACCTCTGCTTACCCCCTCCCCACATTGGCCAATATACTCCTATTTTAAAAAATTAATCTTTGTCGCATCAAATATCCCAAGTAACAAACCAAGACTGCAGAGAATGTCGGTGTAATTTCTAATCAATCAACTCCACAAATCTCTCAAAACATGGCTGCTTCAGTTAATAATATTGATAATATTGTAGAGCTGTAAGTGACTTGCGTTATGATCTAAGTTGATTATGAATAGAACTACCAACATCCTCTTCAATCTTGGCTTGATGCTCTAGGCTGTTGGTTGTGACAACAATTTTTGAAATAGGAATTATGTATATTACACATAACAAAATAAATAATGATCACTTTTAAGAAGTATTGTAAGTATATCCAGTCAAAATCAAGCTCCTGATGAGTTAGCATCTTCTCATGAAACAGCATTGTAGAGAAACAGTAGTCATGGTTTGATGCTAAAACCCATGCAGTTTATTATATAAATCAAAATAATTAATTATTGTTCACTATTTATTTCCAGGCTTAAAACACAGATCTTTGAAACTAAAGGGAGGAAAACTGCATGTGAGGAAATTAAATACATTATTATGGCTAAATATGGAAGGATATCTGAGCAAGAAATTGGTCGGATAGTAAGACTAGCTTTCCCAAATATTAGGAGASGAAAGCATTCCTCAGGATACAAGTATTTTTACCATGACCTTTCTCGGAAAACAGCAATTGAAAATGACTGTGATGCAGCAGACAATTCCATATCTTCATCTGACAATATTCTCAAAGAAGAAAATAAAGAGTTGAGAAAGCAAGTTAAGTATCTAAAAGCAACAAATATAAAACATAATCATATCCAAAAAGAACTCAAAAATACCAAGAAAGAACTTCAAAAAGCACAGAAACAATTGCAAGATCAAAAGCATCRWTATTCATGTAGTGATAGAAACAGGCTTAACAAAAATGTGATTACATCTACACCATCATCAAAAACTGTGAGAGATGATTTCACGCAAATTCCATGTCAATTACTTCTTGATATTGAAATTGCTGACTATAAAAAGTCAAAACATATAGGAAGTGGAGCATTTGGTATGTGTCAGCTTAAGCTCTATCGAAACATTGAGGTGTCAGTGAAGTACTTAAAGGACAGCTCATACCAAGATTTACTTCATGAAGCCAAGGTTACCAAAGTGCTTGAGGGACACCCCAACTTACCAGTATTGTTGGGCATAAGCCCAAAAACCACAAGTGAAAAATACCTTGTGACTAAGTTTCATGGGAAAAATTTGAAAGGAATTCCATTATGGTATGTATTGAAGGGTAAGAGTTGTGGTATTGAACTCAAAGATTTTCAGTTAATCTGCTATGGAGTTGCACGTGGACTTTTACATATGCACATAAAAGGTTATTTGCACAATGACTTGAAACAAGACAATGTGGTCATTGATTTTATCAAGGGAAAACCAAGTCCTGTTATAATTGACTTTGGAAAAAGTTGTACCTTATCAGCAGGAAGAACCAAAAATATACCACTAGGAGAAAGAGAGATGTACCTTAAAAAGCACAGCCACATTGCTCCAGAACTGGTTGATGGCTATCATGAACAAACATGTTCTTCTGATGTATATTCTTTTGGCATTCTATTGAGCATGATTACCAAATATGTAGGTCAACATGAAAGTGCTGCAGTCATTGGTCTTGTGGCAGATAAGTGCATTAAGCCAATTCCAAGAACTCGTCCTAATATGGACAATGTTGTAGAAGAACTGAAATGATGTATATGACCAAATTAATCACTCATCAATGCTTTTAAGCCTGGCCTTCATTTCAGACATATACAGCTATTTCCAAAAAACATTGTCGCAACCAAGAGGCTCAAGCAACTGGACAAGACAGCAGAGAATGTCAGTACTTTTGAGAGTGTTTTATTCATGTTGCACACAAAATTGTAAAAACTGTTTAAGTGAAAAATAAAACAATTTTATTTACTACCAATATCTGCAGATAAAAATGAATCAAAACAATATAATGCAAGGGCGTATCAAGGATTTTTCATAGGGGGGTTCCCAAAATACCAAACTTTTACTATGATGTCATAGCACTCTGGTCAGATTTGCTCTTTTTTATTGCTTTTGTGGCTTACCCTAGAACCCCCTAAATACGCCCCTGCAATGCCAAGGAAGAATGATATGTGTATGTTCTAATGAACATAAGGAATATGGTAACAACATTATGTGAATATTATACTAATAATCTTCTAGGTGTTTTTGGCTTCTAAAATGATAATATAGCCAAATTGAATTATCAATTGATAAAATACATAAAATTCAGGCTGACTTAGGAAAATAGCTGGTCTTTTAAGCCAGTTTTTACTCAACCTTATTTAGACTTAATATTAAAGTGCACCAACCCCTGATACAATACTTTCAGTATTGATTCTACAGGAGGTGAATAGTTGAATGCGTCTTTAAGTTATAAAGGTTTACACTTCCAATATGTAAAAGACTGTGTTTTACTTGTAATGCTAAACACTGGCCATTATGAGACACCAAATTTACGGTAAACATTGTGGAAACCATGATTATAATGATGATGCTTTTTAAATCATGTTTCTGTGATCCAGCTTGATTTTGTATATTTATGAAGCCTGCGGTGACATCACAGTCATATGCATATTGAATGCAAGATCTATTCATGGATTCCTCCTCTTATAGAAWTATTTGCTCTTGTGTGCTCATAGCTTTCCCCTGGTGTGGTGGTGGTGGTGGTAGGGGGAGGGTGGGTTGTGTGGAAATCATAACCAACAAAGAGCGGCTTTACTGCATTGTAATACAACAATATTAGATATCATATTCTGGGTATTGATAATTAAGCTATGTACATTGATGTATTATCATGTTATACAACCTTTATTCTTCACCTGGAAGAGAGGTCACTATCAAAACTTTTTCCCTCTGAAATTGTCCTTCAGTTGCAACAAATCTTGTAGCTAATCTTTGAATTGGTATAAAACAAGCAGGCCCAAAACTGTCAAAGTCAGTGCACCAAATCTGCAAGGGGTCACCAAGGGTCATTTGATCTGGATGCTTTAAATACCAATTTAATCTTGCCAGGTGGAAGGTGTATATTTGGTCTGGGATTGACACATCTAGAGATTTAACTTTGACTGTTTGGCGGAAATAATATAAAACTTCTCCAGGTCTTAAATTATCATCACAGATTTGACCAAAGTTGCCTGCCCATCTAGCTAGGACATAAGAATTCCGAATTGTCCTACTACTAAGGGATCCGTAGAGTACTGATCCAATCTTAATACAAGAGTACTTCCCAACTGTGAAAGGAATGTCCAAGCAGTCGAGATTCTCTATTCCCATCAGTTTACCATACACCAGTTTAAGATTCTCAACATCATCATCGTCAAGGGTAAAATCTTGAATAGGAGACAATGGCTGTACAAGGGAAAAATCATTCCAATCTGCTTCATCGAGTTCATTCACTGAAATGTTTTGCTGTCTCTTAAAGGCATGAAGTAGGTGAACTGGATCCAGTGTGGTTTTCAATGACCCAGTTGACTCTTTATCTACAAAAAAATCTTTAAAAGATTCTCTGTACTCTTCTGGGAACTCAAATACTTTTGACTTGATTTGTGCAAGAAATTTCCTCATAATTTGAATTTCTATAGAACGGTTGTTAGTGTTGTACTTGCCAAGTATACCATTGTATCGCTCAAAGCTAAAACACCAGAATCCATGAAACGGACCAAAGTCATACATGCACTCCTTAAGATGTCCATGTAAGTGCATGTTAGGCGTCACAGCTGAAGGTCCATAAAGTTCTTCAAATTCTTTTAAAAACTTAATCAGATACTCATCACCTAATTCCATGTCTTCATAAGTAATGACTTTCTTGCCAAGCTTCTTACAAGCATTGACGAACAGCCGCCAACAATCAAGATGCTCTTTAGGAAGAATATCCTGAAGAGCATACATGGAGTATACAAGTGTCCAATTTTGCCACTGGTCAGCTGTAAACCCACCAAAACTATGAGCTATTTTACCTGGAATGYGTCCAATGTCTTGTGGAGTAATCATAGAATCTACAATTAATTGCATCTTTTTGAAGTCCTCGTCACTGATCAATGGACATTCCTCCTTGAGCCAGATATTTTTCATCATGTGTTTTGCTGTTCCAAGGTATAAGTTGTGCATTGGATCGATTACAAAAAATCTTATGCAATCAAAATATTCCAGATCATGAAGAACAGAGTATCTTGCACCATGTTCAGAACATTTTGCTTGTTGGCTTGTAGGGGAMGTTTCATGCAGAGTGTCGCGTGCTAAATTTTTGTGTTCCTCTGAGGTTCTAGAAGGCCACAGGTCACGGTTAAAGCCAGAAAAATTTAAATGTCCGTCTTGATAAAACTCTCTTTTACATCTAGAACAACCCTGATTTGCCATATGGCCCATAAATCCTCCAATTTTTCTTGATGCTGGTATATCACAGGTAACACAAATTAAGCCAACTTTGATGCCTTTTTTTAAAAAACAGCCATAGACAGAAAATTTTTCTCTTTCTTTCCATAATAGCTTAAGTTCATTGACTAGTGGTTCCAAAAATGTATTTGCAGTGAGTTTAGGCTCAGTTGGTCCAGGTAGGATGCCAACCACTATAACATTTTCCAATTTATATCTCTCTTCTCTTGAAAGATTCAGGACAACCATGTAGAGAACACCAACTGAGCCCGGTGTGTGTTTGTGTGGTTGGAACCAATCAACATTTAATGACAATGCCAGACTGTTTTTTTTTGACAGGAAGCCAATGCTAGATAATTCTTTCCATAGCTCACCATGATGGACATCCGACATAATATTCTCTGGGGTTGTCTTCTCTCTCCATTCTTGGCACTTGCTCCAAAAACCTGGACGTTTGAGCAATGTTGGCAAAGATTTTATCAAAGAATTATAAGGATAAACCATTCTTGGATAAAATGTTGTTTTATTTCGACTTCTAACTGCTTTCAGAAGAAATTCTCCACATGGGCCTTTAAAAGAAGACAAGTATGGATTCTTTAAATATTTACATCTACAAAAACACAGAACAGGAATCTTAAACACATTGTAAATCCTGATAGATTATTTTGAGGGCTGTTTCACACTTTGACATAAGCAGACAGGTGTATGTGCTTATGTAAACTTATCTACACCCCATTCACGCTTTGGATTTCACABACATAAGCATACAAATGGAAAAAGTTCATTCATTTTTTTTCTGTACTTGTGCTTATGTTTATGCTTGTGTAATCCCAGTTCACACTTATGTTTTTATGCTAATGTTTTTTCTTATGCACTTAATTAAATGTATCAGCATGTGTACCAGTGGGGGAGGGGGGCAATCCCAGGCTTACCACTGAGATATGTGGGATTTGATGCTGACATTGCCCCAGCATTCAGGGAAAATGATTGTGGTAATTTAAACCTACAGGTACTGGGTACTAATTACTTTACTTACATGTAATCCTTTTGTCACTTGCTTTTTAGTTGAAAACGATTATGTTTACAGATGTTTCGGTCAAAATGATGACCTTCTTCAGTGTACAAAGAAACAAATTTTGCATGCACAACTTAGAGGTAACAAAATTAGCTTCTTTCTACACTGAAGAAGTTTATCGTTTTGGCCGAAAAGTCTGTAAACATAATCGTTTTCAACTAAAAAGCTAGTGACAAAAAGATTAAGTGAAGTAATTATAAACCACCCTAGCTGCAAATTCAAAATAAAAAAAGGACTGGGTACTATTTTCTAAACAAGTTGGGGATTGGTCATGAAAGAAGTTTCACAAAAGAAATCGTAAAGATGTTCCCAGCACTGGGAAGTCATGAAAATTGTTCTAGATTGTCCACCGAATTAGTCACCCAAGGAAGCCCCGGCCTGGTACATACTTTATGTCAAAGTGTGAACACCATCCCACTATTGTTTTTTAAAACTTAGGATGAAAACGAGCAGTGAAGCTAGCGTGGGCTGCATCAGTGTTTCAATGGAAACAGGTTGAATACAAGTGTAAAGGATACACTTTAAAACATAAAACATTAACTGACGTAAAACATTCACTGATGATTTATGTCAGTAAATGTTTTACTGTTTTTAGGGTGTACACATTACACTTTTATTCAACCTGTTTTAAAACTTATGTCTAAGTCTTAAGTCTTTGGACTGCTATGTAAAAGTTTACAAATCAAAAGCAATACATACAGTACCTCTTCTGCTCCTGTGGGGATGGTTTGGCCAGGGAATTAATTTGCATTTTGCAGAAACCTTGTTGCCAGAACGCATCTCAAAACAATCTTCATACTTATATAGGGATTTACACTTTGGGCAAACAACATATTTGTAGAAATCGTCATCAGCAATTCCTAATGCTTTCTTTAGCTTATAATGGGACTTTGGAAACAATTTGGGAAGTGCAGCCATAGAATTATGAAACATTCCCAAGAACCAGAAGAATTGAAAGATAAACTTCACCAGCACTGCAAGAGCAGTGTCAGTTATAGCATATTGGCTTTGCCAAGAACAGAGAAATAACATCAACCATAGTACCAGGACTTCAAGTTTTGACAAGTGTTTATCAACGTCAGTGAACTGTTGTGGAGTTGAGTCACTAGGCAATTGGTCTTCAGGGGCTGAATGATTTAAAGTTGTAGAGCAATTAAAGTCCACCACATCATCTTGAAAATCATCCCAGCTCTCTACTGGTGGCTCTACAGGAATTTCTGCGTTTTCTTCTGAAACAATACTATCCTCAGAATTAAGGTCAAAAAAATCTTGATCTTCTTTTTCGTAACGCCGCTGTTGCAATCTTGAACGAAATAAATTTGACATTCGACGTGGGATTGTCWCTCCGGTAGGTAGTTCATCTTGATTTTTGCTCATTTCGTGGTCTTGCTCGTCAACTGAAATAGTTGCAGAACTGGAGATATCGGTGAAAGGTGTTACAGGAATACTTTCGGCAGTTTCTGTATCAGCAGCACAATCTGACTCGCCATCAGTACTACATGCAGAATTCGTTGGAAATTTACACTTCTGTCTATGTTGATTTATCCATGAACATGCGAAGCTTTGCCCGCATTTACTGCACAATTGCCGGCGACGTTTCCTAGCACTTCTGTCCATTCTAAGCAAAGCATAGAAAGAACCAAAGCAGCGTAATATTCGAAGGTGTATTTTAAAAAGTATTTTATAATAGAGATGGCTGTATTTACGTGGCGGGAAATTCGCGGGAACTAAGCGCTTCGAAAGTCCCGGATAGAAGTTGTAATTTGTATCCAATCACAAATCCCCTAAGAAACGCAATGGCGTCATCAAAAAATTATCCAATTAAATCTCTTGTTATGCAAATCTCGTGACCAGCACGAATTTCAAATTTTCATACCGTCTGCGTCCGTTAGGCAGTCATCGGCATCAATTGCGTGGTCTTCGAAAGCTAAAAGAAGTTCTAAAACCTTCGTCTAAAGTTTATCAATTTACTCTAAGTCAATAATGCCTGTTACTGGGGATTTTCGCACCATTCTCCAACAAATCAAAGAGTTGAGGGAAACGTTTAAAGAACAGAGTACCATAACAGATGCCGTAAACATAGTGGACGGGAATCTCACGATGTTTGGAGATGAGGTTTTTAAGCGGTTAGATGGGCTTGAGGAAAGGCTTAACTCAAAAATCGAGAGTACCGTGAAGCCCTTAGAAGARAAGATCCTTTCTCTGGAGAACAAATTCTCAGAATTGATTGGAGAGAATAACTACGAGTCTGAAGGGAGTGTTTGCACACCGCCATCCAAACGAAGAAAGGTTCAAAGAAACCCCGACTTGTCGGTGAGTTAGTGAGAAAATTTAAGCTTATGCTAAGTTTATCGAACAGAATTGTTTTTCTTGGATCTAGTACTACTTTTTACTATAATAAAATTATTTTTTTATCTTCAGCTAGCTTACTTTTAGTAGTAAGGCCTACATATAACGCTCCTCATGCTAAAAAAATTCGTACCGACGCTCTAAATATTTGTCAGCTACAATCAATCACTTCCCTGACCATGGATAATGCGACCTTCCACGTCCTTTTCAATATTTCTTTTAGCATTTTATATCCGGCAGAGTAACATAGGAATAACATGAATTTGTAAGAATTATGATCAAAACGTGTGGTCAAAATCTTTTATCATCAATTCAAGGATAGATTTGGGTAGAATTTTTCGTAGCCTTTGTTCTAAGAGGGAAACTCTTATTTCCGTCTCTATTTCCGATTTGATCGACGTCATGCCTTATGAATGAGGTTGTTTCTATATAAAGGGAATTTGCTTAAAGTATACCCCACATCAAATTTAACTGTTCATTCTAATTCACTTTTATTATCTTTATTATTCAGCATCATGTTAGAAGCAAGCTAACAACTTTGGACCTATCATGGAACACAACCAAGAAGTAAGTTTTAATTAAGTCCTACTACTTTGAATGCTTCTATCAATATCTTGCTCCAACAGGGGGAGTGTGGGMAATATCATGCCCTGCGAAGCAGGTTTTCGAACTGAATTATCCTTGGTTTGCAATCAATCCCAAGAGAGCACAATAACAAAAGGGATGTCCGCCGTGTTGGAAGATATAACTAAAGAATTCATTTAAAAATCTTTTGTCAAATTCTTCCAACATGGCGGCTATGAGGTCTATTGCAAACGAAGAATAGGTTTTGATCAAGGTTTGAGAGTGGGAAMTTTCACATTGATGTTGGGCTTAAGTTGTGAACAAAGTGATCTGGTGTGATCTGTTACTTTAAATTATGCCAGATCGCTGTTCATAACTTAGCCTCACATCAGTTTAAGTTTTGGATTTGGTTTATGGCTGGTCTTTGCCATATCCAAAATTCCTAAACCTAGAAACAAACAACATAATTACTAGCTCTATTCAATCCAGCCCAAGCCCTACCACAAATGTAATACCACTACTGAATGTTGCCCCCCCCCCCCCATTAACTATTTGGCTATTTCAGGAGAAGGGATGGTTTCAACATAATGTAAAAGAAAAAAATTATATGATTTTAAAGCAATATTGATCATTCTCTTTCACATCATTAGGATAACTGACCCAGAGAATCATTCAGTTTTTGTGAGGCTATTGAGGGAAGTGAGTGAAGTTGACTCAGTTAAGAAGAACGAGCTCTGCACTGAGAGGAGGATTAAAGGTCAGTTCTTTACAAGTTTATGGTCATTCAAATGTACCCATAGATCAGTTTTCTCTTTAGAACTTTCCATGATCAATACATTGTAGTGTGTGTAGTATGCATGGTAGCGTGTTGTCTTTCACTGCTGTGGATCCAAGCGTTTGGTTTGTTTGCTGCACATTGTTCTCTTCTGTGCTACGAGGGTTTTCTCAGGGCACTCTGGTTTCCTCCCTCTTTAGAAATCAACATGTGTTGAGCTTTGTAGTGATTTGACACAGATGCAATTACATCTACTTACAAGACAAGCAAAAAAAGGGATAAAAGAGTAGAGCAGGGAGAAGAAGAAGCATACAAGAAGAAACAGAGAAAATTCCAGAGAATGGACAGGGTAAGCATTTTTTTCAAACCCAAAATAATTTGTTCCCTAATTCATTAGTGCTAATGATTATTATCTCACCTAACAGAAATTAAAGAGAAGAATGCAGTCACTYAACAACAATGAGAAACAAGGGGRAAAAGGAAAGGCTACACATATAAGCCTGATGAGMTCAGATGATTCAGGGGATGATGACTCCATTTTAAGACGGCCTCTCCCTTGGAGAAATGAAGACCTTTCTGCATTTTTTAATGAACTTGATGACAGACATGCTAGCAGTTTAAATTCTGCTCAAAGAAGAATGCTGATCAAAAGMACTGATGKGAATCAGAGTRAGAGAGATTCAAATAATGTTCCTGAGTCACTAAGGTTCTRGGTAAATGATGATAGACAGAGTTAATGGTTTAACACTGCATACTGCATACAGCTAATTTGAAAAAGGTTTGATACTGCATACCAAGGCCAAAGGGCATTGTTGTTCTTTTTTGAAAATAAAATGAGTAATGATTTGATTTTCAGTGCATGBAGTATTCAGTATCCAACCTTTTATGAAATAGCTCTAGCTATAGATAAAATACGTTCAGTATATTTCTAACTTTAAGTGAATAGTTTAAGTGATGAAATATTTCTAAGTTTAATTTTCCAATTAATAGCTGTGGTGTCATTGGGTTATTACTTAAAAAGACATGATTAAAAAGGCAACTACCTTGTTAATGGAAACAGTATTCAGTGGATTCAGCTATTCACAAACACAGAATCAATGCTGAAAGTATTTTTAGGATGTCTGTAACAAATATCCATCTATTTTTTTTTTTTTAATTCCTTGCAATTGCTACACTTATTTATACCTTACAATTGTCTTTTGGGTAAGTGTAGCTTTTGAATGACTGTGAAATTCACAATAGTTTATGCCTACCTTGTCATGACCATGTTGTCTAGACTTTTGATAAATTGTTTGTCAGTAACATTTTGACCTTGTTTGTGCTGTCATCTTTTCCCARTCATACTAAAACTGCTCTATCTGCAAATGTTCTCATAACATGATACATGATATATTTCTGCATGCAAAATATATTTCAGACGTGAATCGTATATAATCCACTAAAAAAATCATATGAAATAATTAATATGATGATTATAAAAAAATATCTGACATTTTATGAAAGTTAAGTTACATGTTTGTAGAGTACAAACACTAAAAGTGTGCAACATAAATACCAGTAAATTGATAAATTATGCTAATTATATTGCTTTCTAATGTTTGGTTAACATTATTTAGTAGTAAATAGTGCAAAGTGTTGCGCACATTTAGCGTTTGTACTCTATTACTATTTCTTGACTGGTTCAAGTTATTTAGAAATGTGGAATCCCTCAGCTTCAAGGATCATTCTCTCAGTAATTTAACCTAAAAGATGTAAGATCTTTTATGATATTTATATATACACCTAGTTGCAAGAAGGTTGTCATAGGAAGAAAGAACTTTTATAATTTAGTGAGAAAGGAATATATTAAAAGACAAAAGAAGAGTTCAGCTTCAGTGATTTTCTTATGTCTTTTTAATATATTTTTTTTCTCACTAAATTACTAATGTTCTTTCTTCCTATGACAACCTTCTTGCAACTAGGTATATTTATGTATTTAGGAATAGAGTTATAGTTTTATATGACTTCGGATACTTAGCCAGAATTATTGGATTCTGGTATAATTTCAGACTTGAAACTAGTATAGATGGTTAATGGGTTGTAATTGGTCCATCCACCTTTAATAGTGAGGTTTGCTGTGATAAAGTTTATTTATTTTTAGTTTCTCAAGTCTAGAAAATCAATTAGTATTATTCTACTAAATGTGTTAATGTTTTATATCGAGCGAAAAACTATTCTGCAGGCAGAATCACGAAAAATGACCGTCAGCGAAAAAGTTTCCAAGATGTGTTGTGGATACTTATTATTTAAACGGATTAAAGTATTTTTGAAAAAAAATATTACTGTGTCTTTAATTTGGTTGTACAGCGTTGTGACTACTTCATTTGTCGAAATCTTTACGCGTCCTCACACCCCTACATTCCCAAAACAACGGAGTGGTGAATTACCTGTATACATAAACCCCGAACGAAAACGCGGTAAAATGTACGTAATCCATTCATTATATCAACGGGAAAATGTAGGTACGTCATAAAATAGCCCTGCGTTTTCCCGCGAGATTATGCTGGTAAAATGCATATAAACCACTCGTTATCCTTACGAGATAATTCGATAAAACGTATGTTATCCCCTTGATTATCCGTTGAGCATTATGCGGTAAAATGCATATAAACCACTCGTTATCCTTACGAGATAATTCAGTAAAATATATATTATCCCATGATTATCCCCGCAGGATTATGCGGGTAAAATGTATATAATCCACTAATTATCTTAACGAAATAATTCAGTAAGATGTATATTATCCAATGATTATCCGCGAAAGATTATGCGGGTAAAATGTATATAATCCACTAATTATCCGTTACGAGAAAATTCAGTAAAACGGTACGTTTACTGAAATTATCCCCTCAGGAAAATGTAGGGATTACGCGAGTAATGCAATCGGTAAAATACGGGATAATCAATGGATTATTCAACGTGATGCCTAGATTATCCCTTCATGGTCTCGCGGTAAAACGCGGCCTTTTTTGCCGTGTATCTTCTAACCAAAATGTAGAAAAGGAGTATCTTAATGATTGGTTTTCATATATTATTTTCAAAAAATTTATGTTATAAAAATCCATTACCAATGATTTTTGTAATGAATTATTTTTTTTGTCATTTACAATACATGTTTCTAATTTTGTTGGAATCGTCACACTAAAAAGTATTGTGCATTAATATAGGGTCTGTAGTGAGATATTACGAGACCAAGAGAAAACTATTCTTACATAGTCTTCATAAAAATGACTACATTTTTCTTTATTATCTTATCAGCTGTTCCTGCGATTTTCATTAATACAGGTCAGAAAAAGACAAACAAGTAGCAGCAAACCAACCTTTTATAATTGATCGTAATGGGTAGGTGATATTATACGCTTTCAATTCGATATTTCCATAGATTTTGAGGAGGCTGCAAATTAATTCTCTAATTCGTTGCTTTTCCTTTAGCCAACAGAGGAAATGACAATAGCGTGAGGCAACTGGAAACCAGGGTAGTTGCATGACAAAATTGGTCAAGGTAGAACTGGCCATGGACATTCAGATTAAATGCCTTTGTCGAACAATGGCAGCAGATCATCTTCAGCAATCACAAACTCTGCCTTAGGCAACTTGGTTCGGCTTCATTCCTCCTTTTCTGTGCCTACATTTCATCCAATATCAAGGGCTCAAACCCAATAACGCACTGGTAGAAGCAACTTTCAGGGAAGAAGGTTTGACGTTGCCTTGGTCGTTCTAGACTATCTTCCAAGTGACCTGGTGGTAATGGATTACCAGCATCACCATTCTCTGGGAACAGGTCAACTACCTCTGTTTTCATCATTTGATGAGAAGCGGTGCGAGCGAGGAATACTTTCCACTCTCAAACGTCAGGCAGGAAGTCAATCATCAAGCCAACTCTTTCGGCGTTACCAACAAGCCAACTCTTTCGACACCAAAGCATTCAATAGCTTCAAGGGAAATGGAAACCTGTATCTTAGACTCACTTCACCATCTGGTATAGACCCCAATCCCACTACACTCGATGAGAGTATGCCGATGGATGACCAATATCAGAGTGCGGAGTCAGGAATAGAAGACAATACGAACGAAGTTGCTTATGTCGGGAATATAGTTGGTGATCCAAGCACCATGAGCTCGAGCGAGTCTGGAATGCAAATCTCCAATTCTAGACCGAAAGTACTATACCCAGAGAGGTAAACATTTTTTATTTCCTTATTTTACTCTGCAAATGTTTAAATTTTTTTCACAAAAAAGGAAATTTTCAATGAATAGTAGGCATGATGTGAAGAAGCCTAAAGACATCAAGCTGAACTAGAATTGCATGAATTGCACATACTGTGTTCGCTGCCATGAGAACCTGGCTAATCCCTGTCTGTCGAAGTTGTGGTGGCACGCTATTCACCACTTCAACAGTTTGTTCATGTAAGTTAAACGAGTGATTTTCTGTACAAGGACTTTTCCGTACAAAACTTAAGTAGTGACTACAACACAAATAATAAATAGGAAAACAAAACCAAAAACAAAACAAAAAACAAAATACACACCGTAGGTACGTGAAAAACAATGTTGAAACATTCATGTACATGTACAATCCAACATTTAACTTGTACACACTTGTGTTATGAATTTTGCAAATATGCTTGTTCGTTAATTTCTCTTGCCTTGCTTTTTTTCACAAAGAGGGTTCACTGGAAATTGAATTTTTCAATAGAATTTTAAAAACTATATATATATACAAAGAAAAATATGTAACAATGTTTGATGTTGAGTGTATGACGTCACAGACTCCAAAACATAATCGTAAAAATATCATACTTTCGTCCTGAATATCGAGAAAACACTTCATACAGTGAGTATTGGACCTTTAAAGACTATTCTTAGGTAGTTTCAGCTGAATCGAGGTTTGAGCGATTTTCGTCAGAGTAGCACTTTAAATGATCTAGTAAAGAAAAAACAATCATCTTTCTTGATATTGTTTTCGGAAAGCTCTAATGATAGACAACTCGAACAAATATATGATGGAGGATACCCCATAATTTTTGATATGGTTTTGATATACTTGTATATATATTGGAAGCGGCCACAAATTTTTCAAATGGCTGTATATATAAATACATATATTACTTTTTAGATAAGTAGATAATCAGTTCCACATCACGACTTCAGTCTTGAGTTTTTTGTAAACCTGTGTTAAAAAATAAACCATGTATATATGTTTGTATGTATGTATGTATGTACTGCAGTCCTGAATATATGCCTGTATCACACCTTGAGGTCATTCAGAAGCGAAATCCAATGCAAAAAAATGGGGATAACTTCAGCTCAAAGAATGAGGGTACTGGGAATTTTGTCATCGGTGGCTAATTCAAAGTCTGCAGCTGAATATGAGAGAAATTTGGATGCACTAAAGAATACTAACATTAGAAGTGTTAATGATTTTATTCTAGAGAACTGGCACCCTATAAAGGAACATTGGGTCACTTGTTTTAAAGACCAACAATCTAATGTGGGCGAAACTACAAACGATGGCCTGTAATCCACGTTTGTTAAGATGAAAAGTGTATTTTCCAGGTGCGCCAGCTTAATGCAGTTCTGCTCTGAATTTCTGACAGTGGTAAAATGCTAAGGGACGAACGAAACCATCATTACGCCATGGCTATCACAAGGAGGCAAACAGACTATTTGGAATTCATAAGCGCTGGGCAATGGATTTCTACCAAACAACAGATCGTCTGTGTCCCCATCATCCAATTCTGAAAGATCATGACTTTGCCGAGTCTGTCAAATATGTCACAACGAGTGAAAGTCAACCGAACCCTTTGACACTGTCCCAGAAATTCAGGAGAAGTCTCCAGACAGCAAAACTCATTGCGGCACTCATAAGTGAGGGAGATATGTCCACCCTCCATCGACGGCAGGGAGTACTAGAAGCTTTAATACAAAGCTGGTCCCGTGGTCAGGAAGTTGTTTTTCAAGTGAAAAATGACAGTGGTGAAGACCATGGAACACAAGGTTGTAGACGATGAAGACAGAGACGCAATGCCAGTCGAAATGAAAGATATCCGAAAACTGAATTAAATAATAATCATGATAATGATTTATTGAGCGCCAATTCCCCAAGGTTCAACAGCTCCTTACGCTTAATAGGAAAAAGTTCTAATATTTTAAAAAGGAATAAATAGAAGAAATACATATATGTAGTTTAAACGTCAAGCCTACATACTACAAAATTTAAATGGATAACAATTTTTTATACATTTTTCCTTTTTTGATACAAGTGTACAGTATACAATTGATTGATAATAACTTTAACAATTTTACCAGATAAAAGTGACAAGTGTGTAAGAGTGGCAAGGGTGTAAGAGTGGCAAGATCTAATGTTTGGTGGACGAAGGTATTCCAGGGTTCTGGGGTTGTATAAGGAAAGCTTTATAAACAAGAAAGTCAGAAAACGAATACCAAGATGTTTAGAGGTTGGAGCTGTAGGAAACTCGTATTGATCAGATTTCCTGCGCAGCCATTTATCAAAAGTAGAAAACAACACCTTCTTGATCGAGACTTCGAAAGACTTACTAAAAGTCATTATACTATAGGTTCTATACACCTTTTCCTCGCTTTTTCACACACTCAACCATACGATTTTGCAGTTTAATACATGAAAGAGTAAGGAAAACATGTAGAACCTATAGTATGACAATCAAAGGCAGATATTTGTTTGTAATTTATACTGAATTACACTTTTTTTGCACAGAAACACCAAACCATATTTCTTACACAGGTATTAACATTTCAAGCTGTGGTTATAGCAACCTGCGGTAAAAATAACAAGTGTACACACATTGCAGTTCCAAATGAAGGTGATCAAGATGATAATAATACAATCTGGATAACACTCTTCAACTATGAACTAAACCAAATACTACAGAATCAAGTTCCACCACTTGATATCTCATCAACAGAGGATACCATCACAGATGAGTAGTATAGGGGATGCCACTCCTGATTCACCCCTAGACCCCCATTAACGCCCGTGTTTAGGAGTCCTATAGGGGGATTCGCCGCCTCGAGTACCCCTACTTTTACTATGTATTTCGGATGCAACATGGGGATTTATTGCGCCAACTCCCCATTTATAGTAACCGGATTTTTACTATTAAGTAACTTTGGTAGTAATCGAAAATGAGCTCCTAAAATGACCCACGGGGATTACAGGAGCCTACTCAATAAGATAAGGAAACCACCAACGAATACCATTAAATATGCTAACATATATGCATGAATGTAAAGA